TGACCCTCCATCTGCGTCTCCCCACTCACCCCTACCTTGGCCTGCCCCTGCCCCTCCCGCCTGTGGGAGTTGGACTCTGCTAGATTCTGCATGACTGATAGACATCATGTGGTACTTGGCTTTCTGGGCCTGGCTTATTTCACCTAGCGCAATGTCCTCTGGGTTCCTGTGTTGTGGCAGACAGCAGAACTTCCTGTCGTTTTCAGATGTTGAGGTAGTATCCTTTCTCTCTGTGTCCCTGTCGCGTTCTCCAGACCCATCCCTCTGCGTGTGGGCACTTGCAGGGTCACTGCTGGGAACAGTCCCACCCTGCTGGTGGCCCTGCTGCTCTTTTTTTTTTTTTTAATGTGTTTTATTTTCATTGGAAAGTCAAATATATAGAGAGGAGAAGAGACAGAAAGATCCTCTGTCCACTGATTCACTTCCTAAGCGGCTGCAACGGCCAGAGCTGTGCCGATCTGAAGCCAGCAGCCAGGAGCTTCTTCTGGGTCTCCCACAGGTGCAGGGTCCCAAGGCTTTGAGCTATCCTCGACTGCTTTCCCAGGCTACAAGCTGGGAGCTGGATGGGAATTGGGACCCCTGGGGTGAGAACCAGCGCCCATATGGGATCCCAGTGTGTGCAAGGCGAGGACTTTCAGCTGCTCTTGCACCAACACCAGGGCTGGCTTTCCTTTGGGCTTTGTGAATCCGGAGGAGAGGCTGTGGTTGTATCGTGGCTGTAGTGTCCTCCAGCCTGTTTTTCATGCAGGCTGTGGTTCCGGTTCTCCCCGCCTGGCCAGCACTGGTCTGCCTCGGGATAGTCATTTGAACACCCGTGAGGCCCGGTTCGGTGCATCCAATCCCAGTCCACACTTGTGCCAAGGGAGACTACAACCATTTCCCGATCAGAACGCAGCCCCCATTCCAGGTCCCACGCCCCTTGGTGGGAACCTCAACCCAGTTAGGGTGTCCCCTTAGCTTCCCAGCTGGGCCTGTTCCCAGTCACAGATCACATGCATTCCAGTGGTTGCTCTGACTCAGCTTGGCTCAGCCCCTCACCTGTCCTGACCTCTGCCTTAGACACTGTGGCTTAGCGTTCCTGGCTCACACAGACCAGTAGGTACAAGAGCCTAGCTCGGCATGACCTGTGCTCCATCCTGGTCTCTAGTTTTGCTTGTGGGCTAAGGTTTGCTCAGTCGTGCCTGACCTACCCTGTTCCATTACCAATTGACACATTTGCCAGCTGTTGGATCTACTTTTCCAGCTTGTCTGACCCCCATGTGCTGGAAAGTAGAGGAAGAAGGATTTTTTTTTATTAAAAAAATTTTTTTTTATTTGAAAGAGTTACAAAGAATTAAAGAGAGGCACAGATGATCTTCCATCTGCTGGTTCATTTCCTGAATGGCTGAAACTCCGAATCCTGGACGAGGCCAAAGCCAGGAGCCAGAACTTCTTCCAAGTCACCCACATTGGTACAGGGGTCCAAGGACTGGGGCCATGTTCTACCGCTTTCCCAGGTGTGTCAACAGGGAGCTGGATCATAAGTGCAGCAGCTGGAATGCATTGCAGGTGGCACTACCCACTAAACTACAACATTGGTCCCTACATAATAAAGCAATTTCCTTCTTAGTTTTATGAGATTTTCTAACATATTTTCATGTTAACTGCTTTCCTGATGTATGAGAATGGTTTGCAAATGTTTTCCCCCATGCTGCAGATGGTCTCCTCATTCTGTTGACTGGTTTCCTTATTGTTCAGGAACTTTTTAGTTTGATATAATCTGGCTTGTCTATTTTTTAGTTTTGTTGCTGTGTTTTTCTGGGTACTATCCAAGGAAAACCATTTCTCAGAAGTTTCCCCTTATTTTCTTCCAGTAGTTTTACAGTTTTGCAGTTTTACAGTTTTAAAGTTTTCATCCATATTGGGTAGATATTGTGCACAGGGTAAGTTAAGGGTCTCATTTTGTTCCATGCACATACGCAGCTGTCCTGGTCCTGTTGGTTGGTGACACAAGCCTTGCCTGTTGAGTTCCTGGCATGCTTGATGGAAGCAGCTGACCATAAATGCTTGTGTTGTGCCGGTTTTTCAAACCCCTAGATAATCATCAAGTCTGAAGTCGGTGCTAAGGCAAAAAGGTGGTTTATTCAGGTTAGCCTAGGTAACCCAGCGACGCCCCCCCCCCCCCCCCCCCCCCCCCGCCCAGCCATGCTGCAGCCGAGGCTGCAAGGATCCACAAGGAAGACAAAAGAAGTGCGAGCCAGAAGAGCGAGGGGAGCCCAATCCCCCCAGTTCATATACATTTCAGGCTATTAATTATACAGTCATGACTTAGCAGGCTTCTATTGGTGGGTTTGAAACAAGCAACTTTCAAAAAGTACAAATTGGTAAGCTATTGGGCTGTGAATCTTATCAAACACCAGGTACCTCCTTTCTGAGGAGTGGTCCACCTACGTGACCTGCCAGGTGTCCTGCCGGGTGTCACGCAGGCTATCAGGCCTGAGGTTCACACAGCCCCCAGCCAAGCCATTGAGGCAGAATCACAAAAGGCAGAAAACGCCTAGGTTCTTCACTTGGACTTATTCCCATTCCCGGATCCCTGTTCTGTGGTCTCTTTTTTTATCACTAGTACCGTGCTGTTTGATTCTGCTAGCTTTGTCATGCATTTGGAAATGAGTTATGTGGTATCTCTCACTTGTTTCTGTTTTACTCAATGTTGCTTTGGCTATTTGGAGTCTTTTATGGTTAGAGACATTTTTAGTTTTATTTATTTTGGCTATTTCTGTTAATAAAAAAAAAAATGAGCCTTGGAATTTTTGTAGGGATTCCAGGAATCTAGAGTGCCATGGGCAGCGGGGGTATTTAAACACTCTTCTAAACGATGAGCAGAGAGAATATCTTTTCATTTCTTGGGTATCATCTTTGATTTCGTTCATCAATGCTTTATAATTTTTAGCATATAGATATTTTACTTCCTTTCTTACATTTATTCCTAAGGCTTGTGTTCCTTATTGCTATTGTGAATGGGATTGCTTTTCTGATCTCTTGTTAAAAGATGGCTTATAATAAAAGCCCTTACAATGTTTGCTAGAATCAGGGAGCAGTCTCCTACCTCCCTGTATTCATTCATTCTCTCTCCAAATATATTTATCTATATTTACATATATAATTGATGTATTCATGTGGATATTTCAGTCTCAACATATCATTATATATTATGTGCATTTATATTTATGTTATATAAGTTATATATTATTGTATAAGTATATGCTTATACACACACATATATAACCCCCTTTTAAGCTCTGAGCCTTCTCCTTGGGGTTGGTGGCTGTGGATTTCTCTTGGCCCTGTCTGTTCAGAATGTCTCTTTCTCTCTACATTTAAGGCGACTGCAGAGAGAGACCAGTGTGTCTTTTAGTCTATGAAAACAAAATAGAGCCCTTGTTATTCAGAAAAAGTGCGTGACCAACAAATTCTGCTCTTGGTCAAAGTCATCAGTCCTAGAGAGGAAGGAAAAGAAAGATGACTTGTACCCAGAATATCCTTGCCATTGGTGGGTGGTGGGTAGGGAGGGTGTGGATGGGTGGCTGTGGAGCTGGGCGGTCGGGAAGGAGTGCAGCTCAGCCAGCTTCCCAGATGAGCTGGAGGAGGACTAGCCTGGGTCTGACCTGGTAATCTTTACATTGATAAAGCAGTTTGCTTCTTGTGTTAGTGTTTGATATGTTTTTTTTTTTTTAATCAGGGATGATTTGTTTTAGTTTTAACAAAAGCTTTTTTATGTCCCTACCTTGAAGGAATGCTGTGGTTTATTTTATTTGCTCTGGGAATAGATAAACTGAAGCAACAGATTATTTTCTTTACCCAAAATTGTATTCCTGGATACATTCTTTTTCTTTGTTTTACAGAGTTAGAGGGAAAGGGAAAGGGAGACCCAGTGAGAGCATGATCTTTGATCTGCTGGTTCATTCTCCAAATGGTTACAGTGGCTGCATGTGGGCCAGGCCAAAGCCTGCAGTCTAGAACTCCATCCTGGTCACCCATTTTGGGGTGCAGGTACCCAAGGACTTGGGCTGTCTTCTGCCACTTTCCCAGGTGCATTAGCAGGGAGCTGGATTGGAAGTGGAGAACCCAGAATTTCAACTGGGGCCTCATGCACATGAGATGCCGGCAGTGTAGATGGAGCGCTAACCCAAATACTGGCCCCTCCGGGTACCTTCCTTAAGCACTATGCTGGTTTCTTTCAGGATGCTGTGGGCTTTGTTGTGATAGTATCTGATTTAGGATTTTCTCTTTTACATCTATCTGAAAACAATCATTCATTTTTCTTTAATTGAGTGGGGGCACTGCTTTTGTCATTTTGGGTGGACTCCGTGTGGAAGGGTCTTGTTCCTTCTCAGTGGGGGAGGATGGGCTACGTTTTGCAGCAAACGTATTGGACTCCTAAATGCATGGTGCGGAAGAAGTGGGAGACACTACCACACACGTGCATGATTGATGGATGTGGCTGAGTTTTAGCCTGCATTGGGACATGTGTCCTTTAACCTCAGACCCCTAGTGGGGGACTGGTGGATGCGGGAATGGTTGGGGGGAAGTAAGGAAGCACTTTTCTCTACTCCCACCCATTCCAAAGCTGCATTAATAAGGCTTGGAGGGCCTGGTGCAGTGGCCCAGTGGCTGAATCGTCACCTTGCAAAAATTGGGATCCCATGTGGGCACCAGTTGTGTCCCAGCTGTTCCATTTCCCTTCCAGTTTCCTGCTTGTGGCCTGGGAAAGCAATCAAGGATGGCCCAAAGCCCTAGGACTCTGCACTCTTGTGGGTGACCCAGAAGAAGCTCCTGGCTCCTGGCTGCTAGCTTCTTATTGGCTCGGCTCCAGCCATGTAGCCACTTGAGGAGTGAACCAGTAGCCAGAAGATCTGTCTCTCCTGCTTTCTGTACATCTGCTTTTCCAATAAAAACAAGTAAATCTTAAAGTGGTTTATGGCCAGGAACTAACTGGTGCCTCTTCTCTTGCTTTGAAGGTCTCAACATATGCACGAGCGGCAGTGCCACCTCCTGTGAAGAGTGTCTTCTAATCCACCCAAAATGTGCTTGGTGCTCCCGGGAGGTATGTGGGCAGGGGAAGAGGGAGCGAGGAAAAGGAGGGGCATGGAAGTGGGGGCGAGCTACACGGCATCCCACATACTCTGTGCACATCAGCTGACCCTGTTGACCACCTCTTCCATCCCACCCAGGCCCATGACACGTCCAAGTTCATGAGATGATAAGTTAAACTGGGGCTCTTGAATGTTAATCCTGTTGTAGGGAAACAAAACTTCCCCAACTTTCTGTGTGGGAACCCATTTGGATTCTTCTAATAATCTCTGTTCTTTCCGTGGAGCATGGCCATTGTGAGTCTTCACAGCGCTCCTGGCCGGCTGATCTACTGGTGGTGCCAGTCGTTTTAAGTGTGGCTCATCTGAGAATGGATGTCAGGAATTGGCCTTCAGGGGATGTTTTTTTTTTTCAGAACTAGAGGCTCCTTAGGAAGTGTTGTCAGTTTGGGGTGATATGAAGCACCTTGCTGTCGTAAAGCAGTGTGGACGCTGGGGTTTGGTGTGCTACTCAGGACATGGTGGACTTCTGGGTCACTTTTACAAGTGGCTTTCATGAGAAGCGGTGTATGGTGTATGGTGAAGGTCATTTATTAAAGAAGCCGAAACTTGCTGCTTTGGACCAGCTTGCCCTGGCCTCCTGGGAGGGTGTGAGTATGGCTGCTGCCAAGGCTGGGCTTGTCCTGCACTCTGGCCGTCCGGGGAGGTTCTGGGTTCTCACAGACCTGTGAGGGGCTACGAAGGGCCGTGCTGCCTGCTTCGTGTCCAGGGCCTCTGCGCCTCGCCACAGCTCTGTTGCAAGGAGGCTGGGTGAGGTGAAGCTGGCTGTGTAGAGTGTGCGAGGCTGGGCTTAGAACCTGAGGCTTAGAACCTCTGTTGTAGATGACGCTGCCTCCAAGCCCATGGACTCACCAGGAGTGGTTTTGTGTAAGCAGTGAGATGCCCGAATGGGCGCTCTGGGAGAGGACTGGCCATAGCCTATGCAAACCTCCACTACATGTGTGTTTAGCTGTCGTGAACCCCCTAGGAAACTTTCCCTTGGTTCCATGCCTCTGCCTTCCCCCCTGCTGTTGTGCCTTGTCCACAATTTCCCATGTTACAGGGCCCTTTGCTCTCCTCTCTTCCGCCACAGCCAACCCTCTGTCTTCAGTTTTTTTTTTTTCCTAAAGATTTATTTATTTTACTGGAAAGTCAGATATACAGAGAGGAGGAGAGACAGAAAGATCTTCCGTCCAATGATTCACTTCCCAAGTGAGCGCAACGGCTGATGCTATGCTGATCCGAAGCCAGGATCCAGGAACTTCTTCCAGGTCTCCCACAGAGGTGCAGGGTCCAAAGGCTTTGGGGCATCCTCCACTGCTTTCCCAGGCCACAAGCAGGGAGCTGGCTGGGAAGTGGAGCTGCTGGGATTAGAACCGGCGCCCATGTGGGATCCTGGCGCATTCAAGGTGAGGACTTTAGCCGCTAGGCCACGCCGCCGGGTCCTGTCTTCTGGTTTTGAAAATGAATGCAAGCCTTATCTTCTCTATGAAGTCTCCCCCCAACCCCTAGCCTCCGGACACACCTGCCTGTCGCTCTGTCCGTCCAGGCATTTGGTATGGGAACATACATTTCTAACCCTAGGTGTTAGGGCTGGCATTTGATTTGCTTCCTTCACGGCTGTGTCCCCAGCCCCATGGGTTGGTGGAGCCGATAGGGGGTGATTATCGGCTGTGTGTCGACTGTGTACATGGTTGTCTCCTCTTGCATTCCACTACTTCAATTGCAATAGTTTCATCCTGTTTCCATTTCAATGCTTCTCTTGGTCCCTTGCCACGAGTGCCTTACTGGAGCTTGGTGGTACTTGTGAAGACCTCAGACAGGTGCTTTGCTGCAGTGTGGAATGCTGAGAGCTCCTGCTGATGCTGCTGTGCTGTGGCCCAGAGGGACCCTCTCCCTGTCAATCCCCCCGCCCACCAAGCTAGCTTCTGCTTTCCTGTATTGAGATTTAGATGTCCCTCCTCGTTCATACCCATTCCTTGCATCAGGAGGACATTTATCAAGTGATAAAGATGACAAGATTTCCACATTTGCAGGAAAGAGATAACTACATTCAGAGATGGAGTCTGCGACTCGGGTTAGTGTCCTGCTAGCCAGTTCAGCTGTGGACTTAGAGATAAGAACCAGGTGCTAGGAAGAGTACTAAGCCTGGGGCCAGGGAGCTAGGGCCAGATGAGCTCAAACTTCTTCCTCCTCTTCCTTGTTCTTATGATTTACTTACTTACTTGAAAGGTAGAGTGAGAGTGAAAGAGAAAGAGACAGGGAGGGATAGAGAGATAGAAGAGAGATCTTCTACCCATTGGTTCAATCCCAAAATGACTATAGTAACTTGGGTTGGGTCTGTTTGAAGCTAGGAGCCAGGAACTTCCTCTGGGTCTTCCACGTGGGTGGCAGGGGCCCAAGCAATTAGCAATCTCCTGTGATTTCTCTGAAGCTGGGATAGAAACTGGAGCACATGGGGCTCGACTTAGCATCCTTACGAAGATGCTGGTACCCCAGGCTATACCACCCCAACTCAAACCTCTAAGATAAGCTGAGGCATGTGGGCCTCTGGCTGGCCTGTGGGAGCAAGGGACTGCTGGCAGGTGACATATTCAAGAACTGTTGCTCTTGGTCCTTGTATGACACCTGGTGTAGAGTTGCTGACTGGGCTCTGGGACCTGAGGCTCATAGGATATCAGACATCAGGTGTCATTCAGGAGAGGTGGATTTTCCTCCATTCACGAAAGGTCCTTGTTTTTATTATATTTGAAAGGCAGAGAGACAGAGAGGGAGTTTGGCTGTTAAAATTCCACCACATGGCTCACTCCCCGAATGCTTGCAATTTTCCAGGGCTGGGCTGGGAGGCTGGAATTCAATCTGAGCCTCCCACTTGAGTGGCAGGGGTCAAGTACTGGCGTCAATTTCTGATCCCTCCCACCATCCTCCATCCCCGCAAACCCCGTGTGCATCAGCAGAAAGCTGGAGCGGAAGCAGAGTAGCTGGGACTAAAACTAGGTACTTTGATGTGGGATGCAGGATTCTAAATGGTGCCTTAACCACTGTACCAAATGTCTGCCCTGTGAAGGGGTTTTTGAAAATTAAAAAAATATATTTTTTATTCATGAGAAGTGTTTTATCACTTGAGGCATTGGTATCATTAAATTTGCAGCTTGGTAATATAGGCATTGAGACATTTTCTTTTATTTTATTTCGATAATTTTTACATGATTGATTAGGGTACAAGGGCTACAGGAAGGTGGGTAAAACCATTGTTTTTTCTCTCTCTCTCTTTCCTGTATCTAGAGTTAGAGGGAATAAAGGGAGAAGCCCTACCCAGCCTCCCACCCATCCCAGGGTCCCCAGTGTGGGGCATACTCCAAGGGCACTGCTCAAGTGATTTTGCCTGACCCATCCTATACCCTCTTTCAGGATGCACATGCAGGTGCTGCAGCCTGGACCTACCTAGACTGTCATTGGTCCCTTTATCCTTGAGTGATGGCAGGTTCCAGGGTCACACTTAGCAGAGCCCATCAGCGTCCCAACTTGAGCTAACCTGCAGGAATTGTATTTCCATAGGTTTGGGCCCATACATCCCTCACAGAATCTACCCCCAGGGCCCGGCAGCAGCGCGGCCTAGCAGCTAAAGTCCTCACCTTGAACACGCTGGGATCCACCAGTTCTAATCCCAGCAGCTCCACTTCCCATCCAGCTCCCTGCTTGTGGCATGGGAAAGCAGTGGAGGATGGCCCAAAGCCTTTGGACCCTGCACCCCTGTGGGATACCCGGAAGAAGTTCCTGGATCCTGGCTTCAGATTGGCATGGCATCGGCCTTTGCGCTCACTTGGGAAGTGAATCATTGGACGGAAGATCTTTCTCTCTGTCTCTTCTCCTCTCTGTATATCTGACTTTCCAATAAATAAGTAAATCTTAAAAAAAAAAATCTACCCCCAACCTGGTTCTCTCATGTGCTGCTTAGTGTCATGGCCCTGCCTAATGTGACTTGTCCCTTGATCTGACATTCTGTCAGGTATTAGGATCTAGCCCTGCTACATAGGCCCCCAGTCTTACCTTTGGCATGGACTGTTGTGTGATGGTCAGCATTGTTCGGTGGTAACAGGTCCTTCACAGGGCTCACGTGTGAGCTGGTGTATCAGTCTGACCTTACAGATTGTCTGGTCTCTCCCCTCCAAACCACCAGGTCTCAGTACCCTCGCTTACCTTCAAGTAAAGTTACTCTATCTTTGGGAGTCCCGCAGGATTGATTCCTCACCAACACGCACAGTGACTTAATTCATGGACATACCTAGGCAGCAATTCCACACCCTTAAGACCCCAAGAGCTCATTGCCAGGCAGCCAGCAGCAGAGCCTGGTGTCAGTTGGCACACTGGCCACTTAGGATTCACTCACTGTGTGGCAGTGGTGGCTGTGGCCAGGGCCCCAAGCATTGAGTCTGATGTGGCTTGAGTGTTCCCAGGAGATGCTAGGCTGCTGGAAGCCCTCTGCACCCAGGCCCCGAGGTTGGACTTGAGACGTTTTCTTGATTGATGTGATGGTTTTGACCTTCCAGGTACACAAACAAGATATACCTTTGGTCTTTGTAGTTTTGGTTTCCTGTTTTTAACTAGGCACCTGTCCTTGATCAAAATTAAGACTATCTAGAAAGGGACTCTGGGGCCATGGGTTCACACTTCCTGCCAGGATCTATGGCAGCCTGTGTGCCCCTCCGGGACAGCAAGATCCTTTGGCTGGAGGTTGATCATGGCTGTTCTTGGACTCTAGGCCAGAAGAGACAGTCCACTGCTGAGGGAGTCACCTGACTCCTGAAGGTTCTTCAATACCACCCTGACCAGTGGTGCCCAAGATGGTGGCACAGAGGCACTATAACTGATATTACAGAGATAAGTTGGCGTGTGAGTAAAGACGTCTCAAGGGCCGTGGGACCCATCAGTAAAAGCACTGCTCAGTCCCAAGGAGCAAGAAGCTGAGCTTTGTAGAAATGAAGATTGACACACAGAGGCTGTCCTGGCCAGCGTTTGCAATGTCACCCTGCAAGCCATAGCTTGCATGTGACTGGTAGTGGCTTTCAGGCCGGCGGCCAGATAGCAGTGCAAGCATCTGCAGTCCTCACTGCTGGAGCAAGCAGGCTCCTGGGGAAGCTGTGTGTGGCGGAGCTGAGGTTGGTCACAGCCCCCTGAGAGAGCTCATTCAGGAGAAAAGGGAAAGTGGCTGGCAGCCTGGGGCCTGGGGAGTGTTCCCGCTGCAAACACACCGGAGAATGAGGAAACCCTGGCTTGGCTGCACAGAAGTTGGCTGCCAGAACAGGCATTTGGGCGAAAGGGGACATCTTCATGATTGCCCCATAAGCAAATTGCAAGGGCTGTGGAGGAAGAATCATGCAAATATCTCCCTGCCTGGCATGGAGCCCGTTGCCTCTGGACCTGGTCCAGGTCGCTGGTGTGGATTGAATGAGCTAGAAACAAGGCTCAGTTTGCCAGCCAGGAGCTCAGAAATTGTGTATAGCTGTGTAACCTCAAGGACAGGTGAGTCCTTGAGCCCTTGAAGTTCCGGGGAGCACTGGAGACAACGGCATTTGCAGGGTGCTCCTTCTCCTTCTCCGTGTTTTTCTCACTTTCTCACCCAAGCCACCCTTGGCCACCTATAACCTAGTTTGGAGACCCTTGTTTGAAATCCAGGTCCAGTGCAATCCTTTGCTTTGTTTCACATGTTTGTATAAAGCTTCTTAGAGTGTTGTTGTGAAGGTTATTGACGGATAAAATCACAGGGTTCTGTGCACAACATAACAGCACACAGCCAACAAAAGTCATCATACAGGCAAGCAGGGCAATGCGTCTGGTTTTACTCATTTGAAAATGCTGCGGAGAGATGTGATCATTTCTGGGGTCTTAGAGTCTGCGAGAGGGCATTGTAGTGTCCTGGGCTAGCCAGGGGCTGCGTCCCTCTGGAGCGCTTCAGTTAGCAGTCTGGCTTCTGGCTTAACACAGCGGTCTGGAGAGCCCTCTGGGCAAAGTGTTGCAGGGGGGAGAAGAGATCTGCGACCTAATTCCTCAGCCATTAAGAGGATTATGCATGCCGGACTCCCCTGGCCAGCGGCCAGCTCAGGGGAGGGGATCTTATTTTCCAGGTCCATTGGGGGGAGGAGGAGGAGTGTTGGGAGAGAAGCCTGGGGCTTGCTTTGCCATTAAAAACCCTTTTCCTGTTGTAAGGAAATGTATGAATCATTTTGGAATGAACATCTCTTAAACTCCGAGTGCCCCAAGTTAGCATGGGTCATTCCAGTGGGCTGCTTTCTTCCGACTCTGCTGAAGGCAGGACACCTTGTTCTTATCAGCCTGTCTGCTCCACACAGACAACAATGAAACTGTCGTAGCAGCTCATGTTTTTTCTGTAGCGTCCTCATGTACACAGAATTCTCTTCTGTTTTTTTCCTTAGTACACATGCTTTTGAAACTTCTTCATCTCCATGGTTGTTCATAGTGACTATGTCATCCAGCAAAGCAATGAGTTGTAGTTTTTTCTTATGCTTAGAGATTTAGGCCTACAAATGTAAGATTTATGGTATGATAAGCTTCATATGTAGATATAGTCTTTGCAAGTTTACAGTTTCCCTTTTGTTTTCGGCGGACAGCTGGGCTCTCCCCAAGACTTGTATGATATCTAGCGCTTGCAAAGGTCCGTATGAGAACAGCTCAAAAGTTGGCTCTTGCACGCCTGAGTGAGGACTTCTCAGTTGATTATGTTGTCTTTAATAGATGACTTTCTTTCTTTTTTTAAAGACTTATTTATTTTCATTGGAAAGGCGGATATACAGAGAGGAAAGAGAGGAGGATCTTCCATCCGATAATTCACTCCCCAAGCGGCCGCAATGGCTGGAGCTGAGCCAATCCGAAGCCAGGAGCCTCTTCAGGGTCTCCCATGCACATGCAGAGTCCCAAAGCCACGGGCCGTCCTTGACTGCTTTCCCAGGCCACAGGCAGGCAGCTGGATAGGAAGCAGGGCTGCCAGGATTAGAACTGGTGTCCATATGGGATCCCGGGCGTGTTCAAGGCCAGGACCCTAACCACTATGTTATTGTGCCGGGCCCAATAGATAACTTTCTGAAACAAATATTTATTACATTTCATTGGAAAGGCAGATTTACAGGGAGAAAGGGAAGTCTTCCATCTGCTGGTTCACTCCCCAAATGGCCACAATAGCTGGAGCTTATCTGAAGCTGGAATCCAGGAGCTTCTTCCAGGTCTCTCAAGTGGGTGCAGGGGCCCAAGACTTTGAAGCCATCCTCTGCTGCTTTCCCAGACCATAGCAGGGAGCTGGATAGCAATGAGAATTGCTGGAATGCCAGCCCGTATGGGATGCTGGTGTTAACAGGCTGAAGGTTAGCTAATTGAGCCATTGTGCTGGCCCCTAGAGATACTTTTTAAAAATTGTGTTTATCTGAGAGGCAGAGTTAACAGAGCACACAGGAAAGGGAGCGCTGGGGGAAACACGAGAGACAAAGAGAGGCAGATTTAAAGGTTCTTAGATACGAACTGCAGGCTCTTATCACTTAACCAGTGTTGGGTTATTTCAAGAACAGTAGTTGCTAGTTGCCTTTGCTGCTAAATTGTTACAATAGGAAGTTAAGCTATAAGGTGGTTGTAAAAAAGAAAAAAAAAATGCTTCTATTGCTGGTACATGTGGGCGTTAAAAACTTCTGTGCAAACCAGAGAAGCGGAATGCCTTTGAAGTCGCAAGAATGTGATGGTTTGTGTGACAAATCCTTGCTCATAAACTACAGAAAAGTGACGTGCATTTCCCTCTGCGATTCACCGTGTAATTAGAGGTTTGTCCTTGTTTTCCGCTGTCCTGTGTTTCTGTCCATCCTGATTTTTCAAGAGTTGGCTGACACAGACTGTCCCTTTTTAGTGGTTCCTGTCTGCTGCTCCTTTGTCATCATCCTTTAGTTACTTCTCTGAGAAAGGCTTGTCTACTTTGAGAGCTTTGGGGTAACTTGAAATGTTTCTGTAGTTATGAATTTGTTGTATATACATTCAGAGTCCCGGGCACGTAGCTGTTCTCTGCTGCTTTCCCAGGTGCATTAGCAGTGAGCTGGATTAAAGTGGAGCAGCTGGGACTCCATCCGGCTGGTGCCCATGTGGCATGCTGGCTCAGCAGTAGTGGCTTTACATCCTGTGCCACAGCACTGGCCTTCCCTCCCCCAGGTCTATCATCTTTTAACAAAGCAGGCGTCTGGTACAGCAGGTAAATCATCACCTGGATACCTGCACCCCATATTGGAATGCTTGGATTTGAGTCCTGGCTCTGCTTCGGACCCAGCTCCCCACTTGTGCACACCATGGGCGGCAACAAGTAATGGCCTAAGTCCTGGCGTCTCTGCCATCGACCTGAGAGACCCAGAAGGTGTTCCCAGCTCCTATCTCTGGCTTTGTCCAGGCCTGACTGTCTGACATTTGAGGAGAGACCCAGTGCATGGACGAGCTCTCCTTCCAGCTCTGTATCAATCATCCTCTCTGCTCCTCAAATAAATTGAAAACAAATTAATAAATTTCCAGAAAAATTTTTGGCTATACAACTTTTGACCACTTCAATTTCTTTTTCTGCCAATCACATAGGGATCTGGGAACACTGGTTGTCAACATAACAATGAATCCAGGCGTTACAGAATGCTTTGCTATCCAGGTATCTCAGCTCATCGTTAGTGTGCCTGGTGCTTGGGACAGGAGTGATGATTTTCTCCACTTTAAGACCATGAAAAGGCAACAACAGGTTTAAAATCGGCCAGACGGGGGTGCGCATAGGACCTGAGCGGTGGTGGACACACAGCCTCACCACCCCTCTCCCTGTTTGCTCACCCAGGACTTCGGCAGCACCCGCTCCATCTCCTCCCGATGTGACTTGAAGGCCAATCTGATCGGAAATGGCTGTGGAGGTGAGATCGAGAGCCCAGCCAGCAGTACCCACGTCCTGCGAAGCCTGCCCCTCAGTAGCAAGGGCTCGGGCCCTGTGGGCGCTGACGTCATCCAGCTGACACCGCAGGAGGTGGCCATGAACCTGCGGCCTGGTGAGTTGTCCCTCACGTGGGCTGGAGGAGGGCCTGGGTTTGGGAGAGCCTGCTGGAGGGGGTGGGATGAAGATGGTGCATCAGGAAATCAACAGGGCTGGGGGGTGCTTATAGGGAGGTGAGGCCGAGCCCCCAGGGGACAGAGTGTCCCTTGTGTGGACAGAGGGACTATCTTTATTGTGATTCGGTAGCTAGGGGCTCTCCAAAGAGTTCTTGGGAAATGGAATGAAGAGAAGCCTATTTGGGTGGAATACCAATGTTGCCCCCCATGCCTAGGACATGAAATTGACCGTGTAGCCATGATTAAGTGGCTGGTACAGCAGCACTCGGTGCATCTGTCCTGTGTGTCAGCACTGGGCCATACCTCTCCACTTCCAACACCTCTGCCCTGCTTGCTATGTAAGCAGGACTCTGTCAGGCACCTCCCGCAAGTGTGGGCACAACAACGTTTGCCGTCTAGTGTGTGCCTGTCTTACCTGGCTTACTGTTTCCATGGCACATGTCCCAGCTGCACTCGTTCAGCCCGGCTGGTGTTCCGGTGTGTGTCTGCACTGTTGCTGTGTGAGCACCTGTCAGCGGACATCTCCAGCTTGTGGCTGTCTTTCACAGTGCCATGGTTTTCCCTAGGAGGACGCTGATGTATCTGCTCGCTTCCCAGTGGCTCAGGAAAAAGGTGTTCTCTGTTCTGCGTGAATCCTTGGCCTCGCAAAGAGGCAGCATTTTAAAGTAGATGCTCTGTGACCATGGTGGCTGTTGTGAACCCTACAGTTGAGGCAAGATGAGAAAGTGCACATGTTTTTGTCTACCTGCATTGTGCTGAATATCTGGCCCCCTCTGAGGCAGCTAATCTCATTTTCCCAGGAGGAGACAACCTGTTGCAGGTCTCTCAGTAAGTGATGGCTGTGATTCCATCCCCAGGATCTTAGGGACTTATCTCATGTTCAGCTTAGAAGAATCCCAGCAGTGCTGAACAGTAAATGTGCAAGTGGTTCAAGTAGAGAATATCAGGTTGAGTTTTTGTTTGTTAATTTGTTCCTTCTATCTCATAGTCCGGGAAGCCAGGAACAACTACTCTTTTCTGGTGTTTTATTTGGACGTCCAGAGAGCTTGGCACAGTGGCCTGCTCTGGGTTCTGGCTCTGCCCTATCTCAGAGGCCCTGGGCAAGTCACCTCGCTTTTCAGCATCTCTGCCTCTTCATTCCACACCAATGTGTTGAGAGCCTCGAGTGAGACTTCTTTGTGTAAATGTAATTTACAGAGATAAAGTTGTTAGGATTTTGAAAGACTTGGTGGCCTAAGGTGCCTAGGAGGCTGAGTGTAACAGGGGAGAGGAGGGCTGCCTGATGCCTCTGAAGTGGACCCAGCTTACTGCGCTTGGCGAGCACACAGGAGGGCTCGGTGCTGTTGAGGTTTGTTTTGTAAAATTGTACACCATGCACATCTTGGGAAGATTTTTAGTTGCTACGCACATGAGAAATGCTTTGTTGTGCCTATTTCAGTTGTCTTGAATGTAAGAAGCTAAAAAATCTGTCAGCAGGCCCAGCTGGGTAAAATTGCCCTAGCTATTGCATTGCCCACATTGATGAAATTTCAGTTAACTGGAGTTGGGATTTTTTTTAAAAATCTTCTCAGTGTGACACGTTCTATTGAGTGAGTTCCCTGCTGAGAGGGAAGGAGAGCCCTTGAAACTATGTGAGGAGGAAAGTCAGGTGTCAGTTTTTAAGAAAAAGAAATGAAAATTACTTTTAAACTTTTTTTTTCAATAAGATTTATTTATTTACTTGAAAGAATTACATAAGCTGAGAGGGAGAGAGAGAGAGAAATCTTCCATCTGCTGGTTTGCTCCCTAAATCGCCACACAACCAGAGCTGGGTTGGCCTGAAGCTGGGAGCCAGGAGCTTTTTCTGGATCTCCCATGTGGGTGCAGGGGCCCAAGGGTTTGGGGTCATCCTCTGCTGCTTTCCCAAGCTGTCAGCAGGGAGCTGGATCAGAAGTGGAACAGCCAAGACTTGAACCAGTGCCCCTGTGGATGTTATGACATTTCCATAACAGCAGCAGCAGCAGTGTTGCCTGCAGTTACCTTCTTGTACATAGAAAGGAGTTCATTTCTCCCATTGGTCTGTCCTCCGGGCCCCATTATAGGGGTGTTGAGTCAGCCTTGGCAGAACCAGCAGTTCTTGGTGCAAGGTTCTTCAAGCTTCACTGCTCTTCAGAACATCTTCATCATTCCTGGAAGAAACCTCATACCTGTAACGGTTATTTCCCTTTTCTAACCTTACTCCCTGGTCCCATCAGCCCTTGGTGGCCTCTCAGCTGCCGTTTCCATGGGTTTCCTTAGTCTGAATGTCTCTACCGTAAGTCATGAGCTGTGGCCATTTAAGTCTGATTTCTCTCGCTAACCACATGTTTTCAAGGTTCATGCATGCTGGAGCAGGTGTCCCGTTTCTTTTCGTGGCACAGTAATATTCCACTGCAGATGTATAGATGTCTCATTTCTCGGTTGATGGACCTTTAGCAGCCTTTCCTAAGTAGTAGGGCATTTCTGCTTTGGGACAGTCTTAACTGCTGCTGTGAGCGTTCGTGCGCAGAGCTTGGAGTGGACATGTGTTTTCAATCACCTTGAGTACATGGGCAGGAATAGAATTACTGTTCATATGGTAATTTTATGTTTTACTTCTTGAAGAACTGCCAAACTTTAAGTAGGATTTTGTATAAACACAGGATCATGTTTTCCATTTCATTCCAATGTTGGAAACTGTATGTCAGGATAAGGACCTTGAAAAAAGACCCTAAAAAAGGACATAAAATCCTTAGGAAAGGGCATAAACTCAAGGGAAATTGCCAAGAGATTTGGTCAAAACCTAGAGCGATTTTAAAACATCGGGACCATGAAAAATGGTTTCTTGAAGTTGTGTTTTTTGCTCTCTTAGCTTTTTAAAAAAAAGTCACTCTGGATTCGCAGCTGCCTTTTTTATTTCCCATTTTAGACAATTTATTTGTAAATAATTTTAGACTCATAAGAAGCTACAAAAATAATAAGAGATTTCCTATGTACTAGTTGTCCCTAGTGACACATCTTACATAACTAACCAGAGTATGTCATCTCAGGCAGCGGAATGGCACGCTGCAGTACTGTTAACTGGACTGCAAAATTCATTTGCTTTTGATTGGGATTTCCTGCCAGCCTCTATCTGGGGCTTCCCCTCGTCCTTTTCTGTTATGTTTTGGACGTTGGATTTTGTTGGTTTTGGTTTAGGTAATACATCTTTAGTGTCGTCATCCAGAATGTGTACATGCTTTAAAAAAAACAGAGACCGACTGGGGCCAGTGTGCAAGTTCATATTCCAGCTGCTGTACTTCCTGATGCTCCCTGCTAATGTGTCTGGGAAGGTAGCAAAAAATGGCCCCAGTGCTTGGGCTCTGTGCCAGTGGGGAAGACCTGGATACACCTCCTGGCTCTTGGCCTTGGCCTGGCCCAGCCCTGGCCATTGTGGCTGTCTTGGAAATGAACCAGAGAATAGAAGTGTGTGTATGTCTGCCTGTCTCTCTGTAACTGTGCCTTTAGAGAGAGAGGGAAAAAAAGAGAAGGTGCTACTTTAAAAAACTCGGAATCATGGAGGCTGTAATGACCAAAAGTCTGTCTTTTAAGGTATGTCCTCGGGCCCTAACTCCCTGTTACAATAAGGTTGAGTTTAGGTGTCCCTCCTTTGAATTCCCAGCACAGGGAGGTGATGATTGGAGGAAAGTGACAAACACTCGCACTGACTTGGGGCTGCTTCATTTTGATGCCAGGAACAGTCTTAACAGTTCCTGCTGAATTCTGCACTCTGATATGTGACCCTGAAAAAAGCTCACCCTCTCTTTTTGTTAGAAGGAGTGCAGAAGAGGAGAAAGCTGTGAAAACATGGTTCAGGTGCAGTGCCAGCTGCGGCTTGATTGTGGGCCTGGCAGAGAAGTACTCTTAGGGACTGTGCAGTGGGAGGAATGATGTGCAGAATTCAGCTGGAGCTAGACACCTTGCAGACGGGAAGCCCTGAGAGGGCCAGCTGCTTGGGCACAGCCCCTTCCTCACATGTGCCCAGTGATCACTCCTCATTTGAATTTGCTTTATTGATCTTAAGCGTGGAACAGCCCTAGAGAGAAAAGAAGGGTTATGTGGAACATCAGGGAGTAGTGGCTGACAAATTTAGGCATGTGTGCCAGGATGGTGCCCCACAGGTTGGTACCGAGCAATAAAAAAAAAAAGGGCAACAAGCAGTCTTGACTGTAAAGGAGGGGTGTGTCGCGTGATGCATCTCACGTGTGTGGTTTTGGAAGTGGACTTCAAGGAGTGGGGTGGTGCCCAGGCCTCCTTGGAGCAGGGCATGTCCTTCCTCCAAAGCACACAGCAGAGGTCCACCTGCCTTGCAGGCCACCCTTGTCAGGATATAGGTGTTCCAACAGCATAATGCCCACCTGAAGAATTAGACAGGAATGTTGGTTCCTTTGAAATCTGCTGGTGGAACCCACGTTCTGAACTTCAGTTCTGAACTTGGCAGTGGCACCCCCTTTGTTTGGTTTTCTCTTTGGGAAAGATTAGGAGAGACACTTGCTCTGAACATTTGCAGCCGGTTCCTGGGAGGGAGGGAGGGAAGGAAGGAGGGAGGGAGGGAGGACCTTCTCAGACACAAGTACCAGGCAATTTCTTATTTTAGGAGCGATATCTTCTGAGCACCATAGGACCTCTAGATCCTGTCTTCTGCCTTTCTTTAACATCATGTCTGGAAAAGTCGGGGAGCTAAATCCGTATGTTGCCCTTCAGGCTCCAGTTTCTGGCATAAGTTCCTCTCTTGATCCCTACAGGAAATTGCCTGAATAATGGACTTTGGCCGAGCGGAGGCCGGAGTCTTCCCACATAAGAATTCATGTCAGGTGTTTCCCTAGTCGTTATTGCCTTTAATTTCTATGGTCATTTCCACCCTTCCCGCTTGGTTGCTGCAGTAGGTCTGCAGCAGGTTTCAGGGATCCTGAGTCTCCCAAGTGCTTGGTGGCAAGGTCAGGACTCCAACCCAGCCTTGCTGTTGCCAAGAGTCAGAATTCATGGCCGCTTCTGATGCTCTAAGGCCTGGTCTTCAACACCACACATTCCAGAACGGCCTTGGCAGAACTGGATTGTAGGTTTTGCCAGCGGGTTTCAGAGGGACAGACTTCCCTGCCAGCTCTCTCTTTCCTGGTCCTGAAGCACCCAGCTGTCAATTCCTCACGAATTGAGCTGACCTCCAAGGGATTCTGGAGAAAAGCAGAGGCAGCTGGAAATGGGGGGACAAGGTGGACAGATGGCAGCAGATGGTGAAGACCTTACTGAGGTCATGGCATTGGATGGAGGAGGTAGGATTGCAGACTGGGTCCTGGCAAGGACCCAGAGGAGTCTCCCTGCATGCAAGTGCTCCCTCCTGCCCATCCCCCTCTGCCGCCATGTGGCATCCTAGGGGGCCCCTGAGGAAGGACCTTCTGTGTGCTTGATGGAAACCAGAGAGGGATTCTGCAGTGGTTTGGAATTCATTCTGGAAGAAATCTGGAACATTCCTCTGTTTGAGTCAGACTTTGATGGTTTTTAAAAATAGGCTCCTAGCAACAGGGTATCCTAAAGTACATCAATCGGGGGGTGGGGGAGAACTACAGCAGTGCAAGAAGAGACCTATTGTAGGAAAGCAGGCCCAGAGCTGCTACTCCACCCCCAAAGGGTAATTATCATCATCATCATCATCATTGTCCTCTATCTACTTCCTTTCTGTGGTTATGGACGCCAGGGCTGCAGTTGCCCCCTACTCAAGGGACACAGCAGGAGGCTGAAGTCATCTGACCTCTTGCTTGTTTGTGATCGACCTGGTTTGGGGTGAGAGCAGGAGAGAGGAAGAACTGGAGGGTGCAGCTCCCAGTCCCGCAAGTTCCAGAAGGCTTTGCTGGCTATCAGCTGCTGACCAGGGAGTGACTGCTCAGGACTCAGCTGCTGACCACACAGGTGTGGACCCCTTGAAAGAGGCAGGGAGGTTGCCCTGTGGCCACTTGTGTACCCTCTTCCATCCCACTACACATGCACTCTGCCCGCCTTCCCAGGTTTCCCATGCACATGGAGAGTCCTGCTCAGGGACGAGTAAACACGCTGTGTGCCTTGGTGTCCCTGGGAAGCTTAATAAGCCCACGCAAATGGAATGCCTTTGTACGAGTAAAGCCTTGTGTTCTTTTTAAGTGATTTGTCTTTAGCAATTATGAAATGATTTAGGGATCAGTGTCTTGAGGATCATGAGTCCTCTGGTTTATTGCCCAGATGCGGGCCTCCCTGTCTGCCAGCTGCGATAGCAGAGGCCACACCTCCCAGGTACTGCTTTTACTCTCCTCCCCTGGACACCTCCCCTCTGCTGCTACTGCCTGCTTAGGCTGGGGCCCAGGTGTCTTCCATTTTCTCTTTTGTTCTTTTTGTTTTGTTTATTGGAAAGGCAGAGAGTTGGAGCTTGTATCTACTGGCTCACTCCCCAAATGCCTGCACCAGTTGGGGCTAGGCCAAGCTGAAACTTCGAGTCAGAAATTCCAGCCAGCTCTACCAAGTGGTTAGCAGAGACTCAAGTGCTTGAGCTGTAGTGTGGCCTCCCATGGTCTGCGTTAGCAGAAAGTTGTATCAGGAGCCAGAGCTAAGATGTTAAACCCAGGCGTTCTGAGATGGCACTGTAGGAGTCTCAATGGCTAGGCCATTTTTTTTTAAAGGGAATGGGACTAAAATTTAGAATCTGTTTTCCTATAATTAGATATTTAAGACTTCAAAAAATTAAAAGACAATGCAAATTTTCCATGAACTTAGAAAAAAATTTTTGAAAGATTTATTTATTTAGAAAGAGTGATAAGAAGAAATAAAGAGATAATTTGATCACTGGTTTCCCACCCAAATGCCCACAACAGCCAGGCCATAGACAGGAGACAGGAACTGTACCAGTGTTTCCTGTATGAGTGGTAGGAACCACATACTGGAGCCATCATTCATTGCCGTCCAGGCACATGAGCAGGGAGCTGGATGGGAGATGCAGTGTAGCCAGACCTCAGACCAGGCGCCTGATTACGGGACGTGCACATCACAGGCAGTGGATGGGCAGGCTGCACCACAGTGCTGTTCCCTTCCATGAACTCCTTGAAGCCCCCTTGGGTAATTCCTAATGATAGTGAATGTGTCTGGTATCCCCAAATGTCCAAGATGCTAAAGAACTATGACTGTTGTCCAATAAATGGCTACTGAAAAAGAAATGGGACGCAACATAGTCATGAGTATTTTTGTCCTTTGGGTTATTTATTTTTAAGGACTTATATAAAGTCAGAGTTTGAGCAAGAGAACTCTTTTACTTAATATTTCTCCCTGCAAATGGCCACAGTAGCAACAGCTGAGCCAGGCCTGTGGTCAGGAGCCTGGAGCTTCTTTCGGGTCTCCTATGTAGGTGCAGGGGGCCCAAACACTTGGGCCATCTTCTCTTGCTTTATCAGGCATATTAGCAGGGAACTGGACCAGAAGTGAAGCAGCCAGTTCTTGACCCAGTGCTCATATAGGATGCTGGCACCACAAATGGCATCTTTACTAGCTACGCCACCACTTCAGCCTCACTCTGGGATATTTTCAGTATCTTTGTTCCTTTGCTTCCTTGGCCTTACACATCCCTCCATCCCTCTTGGAGTTCTTGCATCCATTCCTTACTTCTGCTGGTGTCTTCTCCACTTTTTCCATCACATGCGCATGGTTCTTGCCCTGAACTCGGTGTCCACTCGATGGGCTCCTCCCTGCCCACTTGTGTCCTTGCAGTTGTCTGGTCACTGTCGACCAATAAGCCGAGAGGCCTTTGAGTTTCCTTAAAAATGCTGAGCTGAGTGTTTGGGCAGCAGAACCCGGAGCCCTGTCCTCAGCATCATGTTGCCTTTGGGGACTCGGCCTGCAAGGAAAATGTTTCCTTCCAGAGACGCAGCATCAGGAAGGAAAAGCCAGAGGTGGGCCAGCACCAGCCTCCTCTATAGCCTGTAACCTACATGGTCTCTCTGTTGCCCCAGGTGACAAGACAACCTTCCAGCTGCAGGTGCGCCAGGTGGAAGACTACCCCGTGGACTTGTACTACCTGATGGATCTCTCCCTGTCCATGAAGGATGACCTGGACAGCATCCGAAACCTGGGCACCAAGCTTGCCGAGGAGATGCGGAAGCTCACCAGCAACTTCCGCCTGGGGTTCGGGTCTTTCGTTGACAAAGACATCTCCCCTTTCTCCTACACGGCGCCGCGGTACCAGACCAATCCATGCATTGGGTGAGTCACCATCATACTTCTGTGGGGTGCTTAAGGGTGGGGTTGGGGTACTTAGCCCAAAGTAGGCCTGGGGGTATGCTTTTTGATGGACGATGACCAAGTTCTGCCTCAGCCTGCTTAGGCAGATACCATTAGGCATTATACCATTATAATCGGAGCATATTGATGTTCCTGCCTGCCACACCCAAGCAGAATTCCTGCCTGCTTTCTCACCCAAGCAGAGTTTGGACAATGTCCTTGGAGAGTCAGGGACCCAGGTGAGCAGGAAGGGAGCAGGTAGGATAGCATAAACGCTCCAGTGCTTGGAGGAGCCGAGGAATATGTTGATGATTCTGAGTTTGTCCCATTTGTTCACGTGAATGACTGAGCTTGAAGTACAGTGAGAACCTTATACAGGATAAAGGTATGATTTTTTTTTCTCCCCAACATAGGACAGGTATACCTGAATTAGCAAATATTTGACAAAGTATTGGGAGAGTTTCTAACTGCTGCAACCAAGTGTGTAATGGCTCGAAACTATCCCCCAAGTTTTTTTTCGGCTTTCTTAATTCCAGCTGGGTCTCTTGACCTGTGGACTCCCCTACTCCACACTGTGAGTTGGGGGACCCAGGCTCTTGCATCTTCTAGGTCATGCTGTGTTTTTGCTTGTGGCTTGTCAAGTCATTCTGTCTGGAGGAGCATGCCTGCAAGACACAGGGCTCAGTGGCCTGGCCCAAAGGACTTCTTTGCCACTTCTGTTTCCACCTCCTGTTAGAGCAGAACTGCAATAAGAGTCTAGGCACTGCTTTACCTGTGTGCCTAGGAATGAAAGGAAGCCAGACTGGGGAGCAGGTCTGTGTCATGAGGTGTTTGGGTATGGGTGGGAGTGGGCTAACAATCTCTACTAGGTTGGTTTCTTTCTCTGTTAGGTCTCCTTTAAATGTGAAGATTTATGCAGTGTAACTACAGTGAATAAAAACTACCAACCATTTCTTGCATGATCGTGAGATTTACCTTCAGGCAGGCTGTGAGATCAAAGGCTCTAGAGTGGTGGAAAGCCAGTAAGATCAAAGTTTTCAGTACAAATGCAAGGCCAGTACAAATGGCCCAGTTGGCTGATTCTCCACCTACGAGCACCATCAGCCCCTGTGGGTATCAATTTGTGACCTGGCTGCACCACTTTCTATCCCATCCATTTCTCTGCTTATGGCCTGGGAAGGCAGCAGAGAAGCACAGCCCAAAACCTTGAGACCCTGTATTCACATGGAAGACCAAGAAGAAGCTTCTGGTTCCTGGCTATGGATCGGCTCAGCTCTACCTGTTACAGCCATTTGGAGAGTTGAATCGGTGGATGGAGGATCTTTCTATCTTTCTCTCTGTAGATTTGCCCTTCCCATAAAAATAAAAAAAGGAAAAAAAGGAAAAAAAAGGTATGAGACTCCGCATTTCTGTGATGAAAAAGCACCATGTGTCATTAGTCATTTGTGGTCGAGCCTCCCCCTGGTATCAGGTTGCTGTTGGATCCTTCCTACTCTGATGCTGTCTCCAGGCTGCTGTCCAGCCACGTCCAGGGCCTGATGTGCTCCGCTTGGAGCGCCGGCACCTCAGCCAACACTTTGTCTGGTTCAGTGGGAGTGGCGATTCCGCCTGCTGCCTTTCACCCCTACCCTGCCCTGCCCAGTGTATCTCCGCTGCAGATGGGGTGTGTCCACACGCTCCTTGCTTTCCGGCTTTTCCACTAAGGGAGTCTGTGTTTGGGCAGCTGTCAGAGGATCAGGAACTGGCCCTGGGCGCTCTGCATTTGAATGGCTAAGGCTCTGACATGACGTGTGACTGATTTAGAGCTGTTTTCCTGCGCCCTCCAAGCCAGATCCAGTGAGATTCCTACTTGAAAGACAAGACAGTCTGGTCTCTGAGCTGGGTAGTGTGTCAGGGAGTCCCTCTGAGCCTTGGTGAGCAGCTGCAGTGGAGCCCCCGGATCAGTGAGGACAGCAGCACCTCCCCCCTGCTCCTGGAACAGCGAGGACAGCAGCACCTCTGCCCGCTGCTTGACATGGTCAGGCAACACCTCCCCCTGCTTCTTGGCAAACAAGCAGTAGTTCCACTGCTTGACCATTCGATAGTGTGCTTTGCCTTTATGTATGAATGGCACCGTGAAACTCCAGAATTCCTAGATTTTCTTGAAAGAAAAACAAAACAAAGCAAAACAAAAAACAGAATGGTCTGGAAAAAGCCAGGGCTTTGTGCCTCGGGTTGGCTTGGATGCCACAGTCTCCTGCTGTATCTGGACTATTGCACCTGTTGGCTTTACTGATGGGCCTGTGCTCAGCTTGTGTGTGATCTTGGTCTAGTGTCCATTTCCTCCAGCTGACAGAGAAAACCACAGCATTCTCCTTGGGATCCAGGGGAGCCTTTGCTGGGGTTTTCTTTGCAGTAGCTGCGCCTCTCTCAGAAGTTGACTTCATCACATTGCTGGGCATCTCAGAGAACTTCCTGATACCGCACCCTCTTCTGCTCGTTGGTAAGCATCATAGAATGTAGCAGGAAAGTGAAATCTGCCGTGAGGGTTTCAGGACTGCCATGTTCCTGTGAAAGGCACAGTGACTTCATCATGCTGAAGCATCTCAGTGCCATCTCAGTGTCACTTACAGAAAGGCCTGTAATACTCGCCGAGACAGCACTAGGAGGCCTGGGCTTAGAGGTACTGGGCTGTGGGTGATGTGTATATCCTGTGAAACTGTATGTAAGCAAAATATTGTGTGTCATCCTTCATTATTTATCTTTATTTTCTTATCCTTTGTGTATTTTTCTGGAGAAAGCACAGCTTGCCTTTTCCACCCTGTTTCATTGTCTTTTTTTTTTTTTTTAAGATTTATTTATTTATTGGAAAGTCAGATATACAGAGAGGAGGAGAGACAGAGAAGATGATCTTCCATCCGATGATTCACTGCTCAAGTGAGCCCAACGCCGATGCTATGCCGATCCGAAGCCAGGATCCAGGAACCTTTTCTGGGTGCAGGGTCCCAAGGCCTTGGGCCGTCCTCGATTGCTTTCCCAGGCCACAGGCAGGGAGCTGGATGGGAAGTGGAGTTGCCGGGATTAGAATCGGTGCCATATGGGATCCGGGCGCATTCAAGGCAAGGACTTTAGCCGCTAGGCCACGCCGCTGGACCCATCTCATTGTCTTCTGTCTCTTGTGGCAGATTTGATGTCTGCTGTGTGTCTAATTATTTGCTTCTCCCTGGTGGCTTTTAGTAGTTATCCATTCTACAGTGCTGTGCACTCCATGTGTTTGGGTTGGATTTGCTTTTATTTGTCTTGCTTAGGACTCCGTTTTAATTTGGAAGCATGTGTTTACTCTTTAGAATTTTAGGTACTATTTCTTGGATTATTTCCTGTTTCCTCATCCCTATTTTCCTTTGAATGCTATTAGGTATTAGCTGAAGTTTCTCTTTCTAAACTTTGTGTTTGCTCATTTCCCCATAATTTCAACTTCTTTCTTCTCTCTCTCTTAGCCCCGGAATAGGATATCTCTTCAGCGGATTAATCTATTCAAGGACATTCCATTTTCAGCTCTAAGAAGATTTATTATTTAAAAGGCAGAGTGATTGGGGTGGGAGGTGACAGAGAGAGAGTGTGAGTGAGCGAGCAAGCGAGAGAAAGAATATCTTTCATCCTCTGGTTTCCAAATGAATGGCTGTAATAACCAGGGCTGAGTCAGGCTGAAGCCAGTGGCTAAGAATTCCGTTTGAGTCTCGCATTTGAGTGACAAAGACCCAAGTACTTGAGCTGCCTTCCACTGCTTTCCCAGGTGCATTAGCAGGAAGCTGGGTGGGAAGCAGAGCAGTGAGGACTCAAACCAGCACTCCAGTGTAGAAATACTGTGATCGTGGACTAGCTGCAGCCAGTCCTCCTCGTCCATAACAACAACCAGTGAAATCTCGCTTGAAAACCTCAGTGGCTGTCTTTTTTTTTTTTTTTTTTTAAGATTTATTTTTATTATTTTTTCATTGGAAAGGCGGATATACAGAGAGGAGAGACAGAGAGGAAGATCTTCAGTCCGATGATTCACTCCCCAAGTGAGCACAACGGGCCGATACTATGCCGATCCGAAGCCAGGAGCCTCTTCCGGGTCTCCCACGCAGGTGCAGGTTCCCAAAGCTTTGGGCCGTCCTTGACTGCTTTCCCAGGCCACAGGCAGGGAGCTGGAAGGGAAGCGGGGCTGCCGGGATTAGAACCGGCGCCCATATGGGATCCCGGGCATGCAAGGCGAGGACCTTTAACCACTTGCGCCACCGCGCCGGGCCCAGTGGCTGTCTTTTTAAATTTGTTTGTTTCCCCCCAACTCCTGTTTTTCATCTTGTCCACCACTCCCCCTTTGTTCCCTGCCCCCCCCCCCCCCAACCTTCTGCTTTGTTTTTCCTTATAATTTCCTGTCTGGACTTTGGTTTCTATTGCTTGTGTTTTGACTGTTTTAAGTGTTCTTAAAGTGTTTCTTGAGCCCTGCACTGTTCTATGTTGGATTTCCTGGTATTCCTTTCTGGCAGCCCGTTTCTCAGGGAACGATCACTTTTTGATTGGTGCATCTACATCGGAGGCAGTTTTCCACCCGGAGGTCATGTGCCCTGGGTGTGCTGGCATTTCCACAGTGCAGAGTTTATGTTTGTTGCCCTGTGGGACTCAGCATATGGTTGGTTTCTCAGCTGGGAGCTTCTTTCCCATACAGCTAGTTGATTCTGATTGTCCAGGCCTGGAGTTTAGAGATTTTATGAGTGAGTTGTCTCGTTCATGGCCTGAGTGCATGTTAGCTGCCTTGCTGCTTGGCTGGGCCAATCGCTGGAGTCATCCGTTTCTGGTTTAAGTGGTACCACAGCTGTTTGGGGAACTTGGATTTGTGCAAAGAGCTCTGCACAGGCCTGGAGATCATTGTTTGCTCCTGGTAGCTTCCTGCTCCAAGCATTTAGGGCCTCTGTCAGGGTCTGACACATGAATTCCTGCTTGTCTCCCATCTGTTCTCTTTT